ATATGCTAGAGAATGGTCAGGGAGACAGACAAAGAACCTGCTCTTCGGTTTATACTCTAACGGGGGATGAGACACAACTAAACAGGTAAATACAAAGAACACAATATAATTTCAGATGGTGATAAATGCTATAAAAAGAACATAATAGGATAGTGTGATTGCAGAATGGCACAACCAAAGTGGTAGATGTTCTGAGGAGATAACATCTGAACTACTAAGGCCTGAATGAGGACAAACCATCTATATGAAGTTCTTGGAGGAGCATTTCAGGCAGAGAGAAAAAAGCAAGGATAATGTCGTAGAGACACAAAGGATCTTGGACATCAAGAAGGTCAGGTAGTTGTAGAAGAATGAAAGGAAGGGGAGACATACTGGAGCCCTTAGGCCGCTACAGGCAGATTGGATTAATACTGCAGCTAGAAGGATATAAATTGGGTGATCTGGTTTAAAGAAGAAAAGTCATTCAAACTGCTGTATGAAGAAATATTTAATTAAATTATAATACAATTCAACACACCCAGTTAAAAAGTACTTGTAATGGATTATTCCTTGGAGAATATTCCTGAAGAGCAGTACACAGGTGCTTATTACTTTTGAAATCATTACACATATATGTACATATTATATAGTTTTCTGCATAAAATTTCATAGTTTTTTAATACTATAAATTATAGAAATACAACAGAGGAAATCATACTTTTTCACCATACTTACTCACTCTGTATACTGAGCAAATAATCCAAACAACTGGACTATACAAATAACGGGGCATCATAATTGGAAGAAGTCACATTACAACCTGTGATATGCAGATGCCAAAACCTTGGTTGCTGAAAGTGAGGATAACTTGAAGCACTCACTGATGAAGATTAAAGACTACAGTCTGCAGTATGGATTACACCTCAACATAAAAACCAAAAAACCAAACTCACTGCCATCGAATCAGATCCGACTCACAGCAACCCCTTTTTGGGTTTCTGAGGCGGTATCACTATGGAAGTAGATTGCCCAACCTTCCTTCCAAGGAGTGGCTGCTGCATTTGAACTGCCAGCCTTCAGGTTAGCAGTCATATGCCTTAGGTACTATGCCAGCAGAGCTCTCCCATACATCAACATAAAAGAAAACCAAAATCCTCACAACTAGACCAATAAGCAGCATTATGATAAATGGAGTAAAGATTAAAGTTGTCAAAGAATTCATATTACTTGGCTCCACAATCAATACCAGTGGAAGCAGCAGTCAAGAAATCAATGTATTACACTGGACAAACCTGAAGTAAAAAGACATATTTAATAAGTGCTAAAGAGCAAGGATGTCACCTTGAAGCCTGTTGTTGTTGTCACGTGCCGTCAAGTCAGACCCAAATCATAGCGACCCCTCCTTGGGTTTTCGAGGCAGTATCACTATGGAAGTAGATTGCCCAACCTTCCTTCCAAGGAGTGGCTGGTGGGTTTGAACCACCAGCCTTCTGGTTAGCAGTCAAGTGCCTTAGGCACTATGCTACCAGAGGTTGGCCTAACCCAAGCCATGACATTTTCAATCACTTCATATGCGTGTGAAAGCTGGACAATGTATAAGGAAGAACGAGGAAGACTTGATGCTTTTGGGTTGTGGTGCTGGTGAAGAATACTGAAGGAACCATGGACTGCTGGAAAAACTAACAAATCTGTCCTGGGAAGAAATGCAGCCAGAATGCTCCTTGGAAGTGAGAATGACCAGACTTCGTCTCACCTACTTTGGTCATGTTGTCAGAAGGGACCATTCCCTAGAGGATATCCTGCTTGGTAAAATGGAGGGTCAGCGAAAAAGGGGAGGCCTTCAATTAGATGAAGTGACAAAGGGGCTGCAACAATGGGTATAGCAAGGACTATGAGGCTGGTGCAGGACCAGGCAGTGTTCCGTTCTGTTGTACACAGGGTCACTATGAGTTGGAGCTGACTCAATGGTACCTAACAATGGTAGAAACAGCAGAATCTATTAGGATGCTACTGTAACAGCCCAGATGTGAGGCAAAAGTGATGTGGACTAAAACAGGAGCAGCAGAAGTGGAAAGTTATGGAATTTGGAATATTCTTTGGCAGTATGGCCAGTAAATCCTCATGATGGATGGAGGGAAGAGGCAGGGCAGGAATCAAAGTTGATCAATGGTTTTCAGTGAAGGATGATTTTGCTCCCCAGGGGACCTATCCAATGTCTGATGACATTTTACTTGTCACAACTGGGTGGAGAGTGCTCCTAGCATTTAGACGCCACATATGCTGCTAAACATACTACAGTGCACAGGGCAGGCCCCACTGACAAAGAATAATCCGGCCCAAAACATCAAGTGTCAAAGTAGAGAAACCCTATCTACACTGACCCCAATTGGTCTCTATGATACTTCTGGGAGAATCTTAAAAAAAATTAGAAATGAACGCCTTTAATTATTTTCCAACTTTAAAGACAATTAAATATGATATACATGGGTATACATGGGATAAAGTCTATTTGCTTTGGGGGTAAATAACATCACCCCATGGTAATACTGGGAGCTCTGATGGTGTAGTGCCTAAGGCATTTGACTGCTAACCAGAAGTATGGCGGTTCAAACTCACCAGCCACTCCTTGGAAGGAACGCTGGGCAATCTACTTCCTTAGTGATACTGCCACGGAAACCCAAGGGGAGGGGTCGCAATGACTAGGATCGGACTCTACAGCAGTGGATTTGGTTTTGGTTTTTTGGTGGTAATACTATGTTGATCAGAAGTTCTGATTAATGAAATATGAGAACACCAATTACTGATTAATAAATGCTATTTGCTTGATGGGCACACTTTCTCAAAGTACAACTGAAAACTTTAGCAATACCAGCCAATACTACTTATGTATCCTGCATATGCTTAAATCTATATAGTCCAATAATACTTCGGTGCTTTTCCAAATACAAATTTCCATAAAAATCTAAAGGGATGCCTACTGACTCACTCACTGCCATCAAGTGGACTCAACTCATAGCAACACCCCCCTTGGGTTTCCAAGGCAGTATCGCTATAGAAGTAGAGTGCTCAATCTTCCTTCCGAGGAATGGCTGATGGGTTTGAACCACCAACCTTCTGGTTAGCAGTCAAATGCCTTAGGCACTATGCCACCAGAGCCCCCAAAGGGATGTCTACCTACCATAATAAACCAGTACAACAAATAGACTAGAGGGAAGTAATGGTCCATTGGTGCTATGTGTGTACAACTATTCAACTACCTGATTTATTTGGGCCTTGAGCAAATGAGTATACTTTCATCGGAATTACTGTAAACTAACAATAGGTAAAGTACTCTTTTAGATCCAGGTCACAAGAAACAAAATGCCACATAGTTGGGTAAGCTCCTTTTATGTTATACTTTACTATCTAAATGCAAAGAATGTTGGGGGTAAATCACTGCAATACAATCAAGGATAAACAGTAGCCTAAATGACTTTTTGCAACTACAAAATAATTACTATTAAGGTAGTAAATTATGTGAGCGGATTATGTTTCAGAAAGTCTGAAGAAATGTCTGGAATTACTTGGTAACTGAATTAGATAACAAAAAATACAAAAATTATCTCTCTCAAATCAGGAAATTGGAATGACAATTCAGAACATTATCCTACATTTGAAACCCCACAGGTTGGGTTGGGATTGAGGGAAACTGCTTCTTCGAAGCCGCAAACTCATTTTTGACAATTTCTTGACATATGGACACGAGGATTGCTGTTCTTAAGTACAAAACCAAAAAATCCAAATCGAACTCACTGCCGTTGAGTCGGATCCCACTCATAACAAGCCCTCCTCGGCTTTCCGAGGTGGTTATCTCTATGGAAGTAGATTGCCCAATCGTCCTTCGGAGGAGTAACCTGGTGGGTTTGAATGTCCAATCTTCTGGTTAGCATCAGATGCCTTAGGCACTGTTGCTATCAGAGCTCATTTTTGGTTTTTAAGTACAAGGACCTCATAAAACTGGTCAAGGCCATACCCAATACCAAATAACTAACTTCGGTTAACATTTAATTCTAGAAACAATAATTTAAAAAAAAAAAAAAAAAAGGAGAATCCTATCGTTATAGCCTCACCCACATTGTTGTTGTTGTTATGTGCCGTCGAGTCGGCCCCGACTCATCACGACCCCTCCTTGGGTTTCCGAGGCAGTATCACTACGGAAGTAGGATTGCCCAACCTTCCTTCCGAGGAGTGGCTGGTGGGTTTGAACCGCCAGCCTTCTGGTTAGCAGTCAAGTGCTTTAGCCACTACGCTACCAGAGCTCCTTCACCCACATTATTTATACAAAAACTTTAAAATCAGCTTAAGAACTAAGATGCTTCCAGGCTGAATTCAACCCCGACAGTGATAAAACTGAAAAATCTGACAGCAGAAATAAAATACAGGGACACTTTACTACCATGAGAATCATGCTGGGTTCCCGCTAGGCCGGGCTGACGCTTTCTGGAGCATCAGCGCACGAAGTCCGGGGGAGCCCTTCTCCGAGGTGCCTCCCGGTGGCAGCGCTCTCGAGACACTGTGGCGTCGCCCAGCCCGTCGACGTCACACCCTTCCCCAGGGATATACAGAATGACCCCTGGCGTCCGCGACCGGTAAGAAATTCCTTTTTCTTCAGGCTTTCCGAAACCCAAGGCCAACTGCGGTCGTTCAGCAGGTTTATCCAACACTCTAGAAGAACAAACGCCCAAACTAACCACAATGACGCGCGTACGGGAGACACCAAAACAACTCCCGCTCTCGCGAAACCTTAAATCCAGTTCCCGCGACATTTCACTTCCTGTTCATCTTTCTTAGTCCCACCCCACACCAAAGCAGTGGCTCAGAAACATCGCGAGAATTCCTTCCCTAAGGTCCCGCCCCTTTACGGCACGATGGTCGCACAAGAATGTGATACAGCCTCGACAGCCGCCATTTTCTTTCTTTCTTAGCAGTTAGCTGAGAGAAGGTCTCTGCGAAGAAGCAGCAGCGGCCACTGAAGGGTAACTATGGCAGACTACTCAACAGTGCCCCCACCGTCCTCGGGCTCAGCTGGTGGTGGCGGTGGCGGTGGTGGAGGAGTCAACGATGCTTTCAAAGATGCGCTGCAGCGAGCCCGGCAGGTAAGTCTGGACCGCGCGGCGAAATCCCGACAGCTTACGGTAATTGGCCGCTGGTTGAGTAGGCCGCTACTCTTTCGCGCATGAGGAAGAGGAAAGCGGTGCCCTTCCGGCCTCCGAAATGTGAGGGAACTGTCGTTTCCCCATGTTGTAATACCAGTTAGAGACTGGAACCCGGTTTTTTGTTCTTGGCGTCTAAGCTAGTTAAACCCACCCGTGCTACACCAAGATGGCTTGAGATTTTTTTTCCCGTTTCTGCAGTACTCACGCTTCTTCAAGGAGTTAGTTTAACCTCCCCTTTTCCTCAGAGTTAGGAACCCTGATGGCGTAATGGTTAAACGGTCGGCTGCTAACTGAAAACTCGGCGGTTCCAACCCACTGTCCCGCTCAGTGGGAGAAAGATGTGGCATTCTGCTTCTGTAATGATTTACAGCCTCGGAAACCCGATGGGGTAGTTCTACTCTGCCCTATTGGGTCGCTGTGAATGGCAATCGACTCTCTGGCAGTGGGTTTGATTTGGTTCCTCAGAATGAACATGCTCTTCCGTGGGGTAAAGCGCGGGTAGTTTTACACAATAGTGCGGAAGGTTCTGGTAATAATGAGTTTGGGGAAGGACAAAGGTCTGTTTTCAGGAGCTATAGTAAGGGATTTGTCATTCAAGCAGTATTTACTGTTTCCAGCTCATTCTAGCTCTCCCTCACAATTAAAGGATCTTTCCCTACAGGAAAGAGACTTGAGGCAGCATTGGTATCCCGGGTTGGAATCTTTCCTTTGGGCGGGATTTCCGTGTCAGTCTGTTCTACCACTCTTCTCTTTTTTTCTCAAAATGGCCTCAGGTTCTTAATACCCAAAGTTTCTGTTTGAATCTGCCTCTCTGTTCAGTCTTAAATTGACCAGACCTCTTTGTATTGCGTAGGTGTGTGCATTTGCCCCAAAGACACTTCTTTCCCAAACAAAACCTGTGGAAAAACCAGTATAAACTATATAGTGTTAAGAGAATGATAATCATTGAAAGTAAGTTTGTGGTGTGTCATGAGGAGTTCACTTCCTTAACCTAATTTTCACGTTTACGTTTAAGGACCATTTTGAATCAGAAGTAAAGTTGATAAACTCTACTGATGTAACAAAGCACACTTATTTGTCTAATGTAATTCTATTTTAAAAATGTACTCACTGATAATCAGAAATATTTAGGGGAAGCAACAAAAGGTCATCATTAATAGTAATTCAGAATTTTTTTCACCTAGTTTTTTTGAACTACTGCTGGACATGCTTAGACTAACAACATAAACATTTACATAATTATGACAAATTGTTTATTTTATTTTTAATTTTTTTATTCAGGTTTGAAGAATTACCAAAATTCAACCGGCATATTGAATTAATTTGTGCTACTTGTACTTAGATGCTGGGAATTTTTTTTTTTCCCCCCAATGTGGGTATTTGGTCTTTGCCTTCGAGGAAGTTTGGTTCAAGGAACCAAATGGTAATGAACAAATATCTGATTAATGCTATCAGAGAGAAGTAGACAAAATGGGGGGGGGGGACCTCGCTGCCATTGAGACGGATCGGACTCAGTGACCCCTCCTTGGGTTTCCGAGGCATTATCACTACGGAAGTAGATTGCCCCATCTTCCTTCCGAGGAGTGGCTGGTAGGTTTGAACCGCCAGCCTTCTGGTTAGCAGTCAAATGCCTCAGGCACTAAGCTACCAGAGCTCCTAGTAGGAACTCTGTAAATAACAAGTGTATGAATTAACAGCACCTAGGTTTTGTCTAGGAGCTCTGGTAGCATAGTGGCTAAGACACTTGCCTGCTAACCAGACGGCTGGCGGTTCAAACCCACCAGCCACTCCTCGGAAGGAAGGTTGGGCAATCCTACTTCCGTAGTGATACTGCCTCGGAAACCCAAGGAGGGGTCGCTATGAGTCGGGTTTGACTCGACGGCACATAGCAACAACAACAAATGTTTTGTCTAGGAGTTCTGGTGGCGTAATGCCTAAGGCATTTGCCAACCAGAAAGCTGGTGGTTCAAACCCACCAGCCACTCCTTGAAAGGAAGGTGGGGCAATCTACTTCTGTAGTGATACTGCCTTGGAAACCAAGGAGGGGTCGCTATGCGTGGAGACGGGACATAACAACAACACTGTTGAGTCAAGGACTGTGCAGGGCATCAGGGATAGTGCACCTCACTGCCCAAATAAATAGATGATGATATTTGAGCAAAGCATTGAGTTTGACAAGTGGAGGAAAGAAGCAACATGTGTAAAAGTATGGGAATTTCGCAATGATAAGAACCCATGAGTGTAATTCTCTGTAGGATAGTAGGTGGGGAAGGAGGATGGAAAACGAGGTGAGGAAAGGTATAGATGAATTGGGGATCCTAATTGTGAAAGACCTTGGATTGTCAAGCGTTAATTAAAAATTGGACTATTTTATTTGGCTGAGTTATAATTTCCTGAGTAAAGTTAGACTTTTTAAATATAGAAAATTATTTTTGAACTGTGCAATTCCTTACTTTTTTCTTATGTGACAGTAGGTCAGCTGCCCTCATGCCTTTGCTGTGATTTGAATGTTTCTTTATAGAATTGATCTTAAATTTTAGATTCCCAGTTGAATTACCCCTTATTACATTTGAAGATGCCTCTAAATATCAGTTACAGCTGTTTGTCTAAGTAAATATGGGAAAACTAGGGAAGGGTACTTCTACTGAAATGATAAATTAGGTTAATACCAGCAACACTTTACCTCATAGGTATAAAGAGGATGTTGAATTCTATTTTCAAAATCCCTATTTAACCTTGTTTCTTTTCTTTCCCAAAGTATAAAACTATGTTCTTTAGAAGGAAGAACAAGAACAGCTCCTTGACCTTAAGGAGCCCAGGAGGTGCTTACCAGTGGGGATGCTATTGACATTTTAACTGGGTGATTCTATTATCATTCAGATGCCACAGGGTATTAGGATCTCTGGTCTCTACCTAGTACATGCTGGTAGTATTTACCTGCTTGTTGCATTCTGACAATTCAGGGAGAGTTGCCAATATTCTCTTTATGTAGAGAATCCCAGTTTGCTTGTTTTTTGTGGGAAATTACCTAATTTTTATAATGCTCTGTGGACAAAATCTGGCACAGGGGCACAGATTACTTCCCTAGTTTTGAGTCCAATCTCTACTTTTGTGGATTTCAAACTATAACTTCAAAGGGTGGGATTAATGATTAGGTCTTTGGTAATCACACATAAATTTAAATTTAACTAAAAGCTTGGCTGTTTGAACCCATCTAACAGCTCTGCAGGAGAAAAACCTGTTTGTGTGAGACTAGATGAATAGAGTGGTAGATCACAGGCCAAGCAAGAATAGGTTAGTTCCATCCTTTTCCTTCTAAACAACCATTAAGTTACTGCTTATATACTCCATTACTCTTGATCCTCTTCCTAACAAAATAAAGTAATTGAGGCTGCAGTATATCTTTGGATGAGATAAAAATATAAAATAGACCTGTTTTTCACTTTAGCGAAAACTAGCATTTAAGTGTGATTTTTTTATTATATATTGTCACCTAATAGGAGAGGCTTGATTGTGGTAATAAGCAAAGATTCCTGTGTTCTAGAGAGGGAACTTGGAGAACGCTAATAAAACAATGGCCTTCTAATATTTCTGGTGTCCTTTGACACCTCTTCACATTTCTAGTCAATGGGAAATGAATCCATTGGAACCTTGCCCATAATATGTACTCAATATTTATGTAATTGAATGAATTGAATCTAATTAATGTAGTGAATTTTGTTTTGAAAATAATCCTATTCTTTCAAAATTTGTTGAATGCCTTCTATATGGCTACAACTGTACCAGATCTTCAAAATAAAAAAATGTTGTATACCTGATTCAGCCACAGGCACATTTTTTGGCAAATAGAATATATGTTTTTGGCCAGGGGGAATAAACATCTATTAAATTTTTAGAATCAGATATGTGAAGTTGTATTGTAGATCCTGTTTTATAGTTGAATTACAGTATGTTGAGCTGTTCAATAGCTGGCACTTATTGAGGATTTACTATATTCTAGGCTCTGTGGAAGTACATTAACTTATTTATTCCTCACAACGTTTCTATAAGGTAGGTGTAGAAACTGTATTTTATACAGATGAGGTAAATGAGGCACAGGATACTTGAGAAAATTAGCAAAGGACACAAAGCTAATAGGCAGTAAACCTAGCAGAATCACAGCCTCAAGCAGCTGAAAGCTTAGGGGAAGCATGTAGTGGACTGAAAATTAAGAGATAGGCATTTAGGTAGTTTACTTATCTTCTGGTAGGTAGTGTGTTTTTTTAATTTCTAAAATCAGGAAGTGTGACTAAATAACCTTTTAAATTTACTTTTAACTCTGAAATTCTTGAATTCTAAGAATGGTCAATGAAGAAAGCGAGAATGCAAAAACAATGCAGGAAAAATTCATTCAAGTAGTAAGTTGTTACGTGTCGTTGAGTCGGACCCGACTCATACGGACGACTGCTCCTTGTGTTTCTCAGGCAGTATCACTACGGAAGTAGATTGCCCCATCTGCTTTTTGAGGAGTGGCTGGTGGGTTTGAACTGCCAGCCTTCTGGTTAGCAGTCAGGTGCTTTAGGCATTGTGCTACCAGAGCTTCTAATTCAAGTAATAAGAGTCAGGTCCAAATAGAATTCCTGAATTATCACTTTAATTAAAAGCAAAGTAAGGGATTACCTACCTACACTTAATTCTTCATGTCTCATAAAGATTGTGTATAGTTGGAGGTTAAGGAACTCTGGTGGTGTAGTACCTAAGGCATTTGACTGCTAATCAGAAAGTTGGAGATTCAAACCTACCAGCCACCCTGAGGAAGGAAGACTGGGCAATCTACTTCCATAAAGATTTACCACCTGGAAAACCCAAAGGGGGTTGCTGTGAGTTGGAATCGACTCGATGGCAGTGAGTTTGGTTTGGTTTTTATAGTTGGAGTTATCTTAAAGTAATCCTCCTCCTGCTGATCTAGGAAATAAATATTTCCTATTGATCTTGGAGAATTGATGATCAAATTTGCTTTGGTACTTTTTATTAAACAGCTCTTTAATGTAATTGTATTATTTCTGAACTTTTGAGATGATGTTACTGGTTCTTTTGAGTGAACTAAGTATCAGGTTGCATTTTAATTTGGCTAAATTTTGAACTATTGAACGAATAAAGAGATATAACTGAGTATCCTTTCTCTGAAAAAGTTCTGAAGTTCAAGGAGTGCTGAGCATTTATAAACACTGTCTGCAGTAGATATTTACAACCTAAACCATTTTTCCATCAGTAGTACTATTTTCTCTGACCCGAAATAATTTTCCTTCTAATATTAGTTAGTGTTAGAACATAGTTCTCAATGAACATTTCAACTACTGAGTGTTTTAAGAATTAGGGGGTAGAAACGCAATTGTTTTCAGGTGTGATTATGTAAACTTTCAGCAAAGAAATAAGATTTGGATTAAATGCTGAAAGACACAAACAGGCTTTTGACTGAGAAAGTGAAAAATAGTTTAGGAAGGTTAAAAACCAAAGTCAGGTAAAATCAACATGTGGTTCTCTTTTTATCAAGGGTTTTTATATTTAATCCTAATAGCCTTTAAGAAAGGTATTTATTTTTTCAGATGAGAAAAGGAGAATCCAGGAACTCTAAGAAGTACAGTTGGTTTATGGAAACATACATGTTGAGTTTAATTAATATACATTGGACTTGAAAACACAGGCCCTTGAATTTACTACCCCCCCCCCCCAAAACCAAACCTGTTACTGGGGAGTTGATTCTGACTCAGCAACCCTATAGGACAGGAGTAGAACTGCCCCGTAGGGTTTCTAAGGCTGTAAATCTTTACTGGAGCAGACTGCCACATCTTTCTACCATGGAACAACTGAGCCACTGACTTTTCAGTTAATAACCAAGTACTTTTAACTACTGGGTTACCAGGCCTCCCCAGATTTACCCTTACCTTCTCCATTTTCCTGATGATAAAACTTGAGGCAGTTAAATAGTTCTACATCAGGATCTCCCAAGTTCATTACTGTAAAGAATAATCCTAATTAGAACCATTATGTCTGATAATTATTGCAGATGGATACACTGGAATTCATTATGTTATTCTTTCCATTTTTAGTATGCTTGGCATTTTTCATGATAAACTAACCAGGAAACTAAACTGGGTCTATAACTAGCCTGGCACTTTGTATAAATTGAGAAACAAGGCATTGTTGAAAGTTAAAGGGATTTGGTACCAGATGTCTCCACCATTTACTTGCTGTGTGACCTTGTTTAAGTTACCTCTCTGAGATTCTTTTTTTTTTTTTTTAAACTGTAAAATGATTCTGTCTCATTCTGAGTACTCGTTTCCTAATGGGGATGTTATACTGATTCAATGGTAAAATGATTATAGAACATTTTTAGTGTAGAGTTTGGGTCATTTTTAGCACTTAGCAGTATTAGTTCCGTTTCATAGAAAAATGCAGTAAATACCCACTGGTTGTCCCCTGCTTGTGACTTGTGATTGGTTTTTCTTAAACGTTTAGTCAGGTACAAGCAATCATTTGCCCTACTCTAAAAGTTTTTTTAAAAATTAGAGTGGCTTTAATAGGATTACAGTCTTAACAGCTGAGGTTTTCTTAGAAGTACCAGCTCTACCCCCACCCCACCCCCAGCATGTTTCTTTAAAGCAGCATTGTTCAATAGAAATACAATAGGAGCCACATATTTTTATTTAACCCATATAGCTAAATATTATCATTTTGACATATCAGTATAAATACTTTGCATTCTTTATGTTTATTCTAAGTTACTAATATCCAGTGTGTATTTTACTCTTAAACCATATATCAAATTGGACTAGCTCAATAACCACATGTGTGGCTATATTGAATAGCACAGCCTTGGAGTCTCATAAGATGGTCACATTCTGTGTGGCCCCACACAGCTTATGAAGAGTAGTAAGAGCCATGGAAGATACAAAAACACTGCCATTGAGTTGATTCAGACTCATAACAACCCTCATTGGGTTCTGAGGTGGTAAATCTTTACAGAAGTAGATAGCTCTGCGAGAATAAATGAGGACATTTATTACGGAATATAGTATATAGTTGTTTGTGGTGCTGTTCTTAATGATGAAGGTGTGGGGTCTTTTGTTTGTTTTTTCAAGATTGCAGCAAAAATTGGAGGTGATGCTGGCACATCACTGAATTCAAATGACTATGGTTATGGGGGACAAAAAAGACCTTTGGAAGATGGAGGTAAGTTATAGTATAAGTATTTTAATTATTTCATGTAGTGTTTAGTTGAAGTGATTTTTAATATTTTTATTAAAACATTACTTTAATCCGAAGGTTCATAAAACTGTAAGGTTTTTATTAGCCTCAAAGGAAAGGACAAAAAGAGAGACCTAGACAAGGTAGGTAAAATTTGGATCAAGCAGCAAACTTTCTTTTATTAAGAAACAGTTCCAGTTTCTCTGTTTTAGGATTGTGCCAGATTGACAGTTTGCACAGACTTCTTGCTAATATGATGGGGGGATGGGGGAGCATGAGTTGTTTAGGAGACATTTCATTGGTTTTTCTCATCACTCATGAATGAATCTTTATATTCGATGTTTCATGATTTTGCTATTTCAGATTTCACTTTAAAGGTTGAAGTTGCTACAGTTTGCTACTCTAGTGCATTGCAGGTTATACCATTTTTTATGTTTTGTTTGTTTTAGTATTTTGTTTCAGGTTTAACTTAAAACAGTGGATTTACAGTGCCTTGTTTTTTTTTGTTTGTTTGTTTTTTATTAATTGTTGAAGCTTCTGAACTTAGAAGTCTGCACGTATTTTTTCTTTTAGGTTTGACATGAATTTTGATATGTTTTCTTTTTGCCCTCTTTTTTTGTTTTGTTTTTGTTTGTTTTTAAAGAGGATTCTTGAGTCTATAGAATGTATTGGTAGCTTTTTGACCAGGAGTACTTGGTTTTCTTTCATTTAAGTGTCTTTCATATTTATAGTGAGGTTTTTAATATACAAAAAAATGAGCTAATGATGCTTCAGATGTTGTATGTAATGTATTCTTTTTATTTTATGTGTAGATGGCTCTTGGACAAGTCCGAGCAGTACAACACACTGGGAGGGAATGCCCTCTCCTTTTAAAGGCAGGAATTTTTATTTATTACCTGTGTTTAGTATGTAAACGTGAAGTAAACCACTGGATTCTTGAAATGGACACAAACGTTTCTTGGATTATGTGTCTGAATTTTTGCTGTACAACATTCTGATATTTAATCATTTAACTTTGAAGGGGGGAGGAGAATGTCATATTTTCAGCTATAGGTTGTCTTTTCTAAGGTATGCATTGTATTTATTCATCTGTGTAAAAGGATTTAGATGAAGGTAGTCATGTCGTTGCTTTGAGTGTTTCTGCTGAAGTGTTACGCTGCGAAATGTTTGGTTAGGAAAATTCAACAGTTTAGATTGAGATTTCCTTGTGATGTGATTTTTATTTTTTGCATAGCTTTGTGGTCACTGTCAGATACACTCAGCTTTTGACATGTCAAATTTTCACATTTTGATAGTTTTTTCTTTCTTCCAATCTTCAGTTCCTACATTGGAAGCATCATTAGCCTTTAGCATGTGATACTTTGCTAGTAATGGACCTAAATACTTTGTCTTATATCATTCAAAAGTGCTTAACATACGTTAAGGTCAGTGAATTGATACAATCAAAAAAAAAAAAAATTTTTTAATGTCTGTGCATCTTTAAACATGAAGAAAATGAAAAAAATTGTAATTCTTCTTTAGACTACTACAAGTAAGGGTTGAGTTTTGCCAAGTTTGGTTCAAATGACAAACTATACCCTCAGATACATCAATAAATGTTTGTATTGATATTTATTTTTGCTTGGAGGGGAAGCTAAGTCTTAAACTTGTATTTATTATCAAAAAAAAAAATTAAAAGACTCTTAATTTTGCAGATCAACCAGATGCTAAGAAAGTTGCTCCTCAAAATGACTGTAAGTATTTAATTTAAAACTGGCCTAAAAGTTAAAAGTAACTGAATTTTAATATTATTTTTGTTTTCTGTGTGAGTATCTCTGAAATTAGTTAAAGTCCATGAATATTTTTTTAAACTACCTAGCTTTGAATGTCTGTGTAAATATGTGCCTTTTTGTCCTGCTCCTACAATCTCTCACTTTAATTGTGGCCAGGTATATGTTAGTAAGATTTGGTTACTAACTTATCTTACATACTCACTTTATTTAACTGCTCCAATTTTTAAACTGTGCTTATACCACTTGAAAAAGGAGAATGTTTCTTACTCTGTGCTGTTGTTAATAATCTATTTCATTGGTGGGTTTTGTTTTTTGGGGGGAGGTTTGCCCACTGTTGATGCCAGTTTCTGTATTCTGTATTAAATTTTGTTGTCTTCAACGTATTTTCTGTGTGTCAGGGAAAGATTTTAGAATTATCTAGTATGATTGTATTGTTAAATACATAGGTAAACTTAAACTGCCAATTAAAATTTTATCTTTATCTAATTTTTTTGGTAGCTTTTGGAACACAGTTACCACCGATGCATCAACAGCAGAGGTATAATCAAAAACTTTTCAAAAAATTCTTTGCTTGTTTTTAGTTTAAATGTATGTATAAACACAGCCGAGTTAGTGTATAGGGAATATGTTTCTGCATATATGAAATACTTACTTTTATATATGTAAAATACATATTTCATA